GCATTCACTAACCCACCAGTGACCGACGACGGCTCACAACATTCAACCGGTTTCTTCAAATGTCTTTAGATTCTAATTAGAATAGAAATTCGCTATGTAATCAAATTAGCCAAAAGCTTGTCGTACCAAATGACTGTGACGACGAGTAAAAGGCAAACAAAAAAAAACAAACAGAGCTTGCAAATGGAATTAAACATATTTTGACGGCTAAACGTACAACGCCGAGCAACCCCATCTTACAAATGCTGGAAGAGCAAGCTGATCCCAACGCACGACTGGCGACTGACCGTGCGACAGGCGAACAAACACGAAACTGATTAACACGATCAAAACAAAGCTGGACTGACTAGCCGGCCGGCGGCGGAAGCGTAAGGCAAAGTGGCCACAGCGGCCACTGGGAACAGCGACATGGATACGGAGCAGCAGGCGTTCGGTAACATTTATGGCTGTCATAAGTGGGAATTACATACATAAATACGGGTATGTATGTGTGTGTATGTCTGCATACGACGGAGATGCGCCGCTATGCTGCTGAATTCAATTTACCACATTTCAATCAAATTGAATGTCGGAAATGTCAACGATTCGCTGCGCCTCCTTTGCCAATTGGCGCAATGTTCTAACAACTTGCGTTACTTGCACTGCAATGGACATTCGAGCAGCTATTTTTAATTTTATGTAAGAACATACATATATATCTATTCTCTATGTTGTAACTATTATTTGTGTATACACATTTGTTTAACAACATTGCTGTGACACGCATGCGCAACAACTTCAATAGCACTCCATTCAATTGACCAGCCGCCAGCCGGCAACCCCTCCATTTCGCCCATTCATAAAATGCCGTCATTTTGTAGCTCATTTGCTTAATGCTTTAGTTTTATTTGTATTATTCGTTCTGGGGCGGCGCACAGTGCAGGGAGTACACGTAATTGGATTAGCAGTTCGCTGGTTGTGTGATGCGCTGCTGCGGCCAGCTGCGTCTTTTGACTCCAGTGCGGGCATCAACATTGCCGTCATTTATGTCATCATCAGCAACAGCAACAGCAACATACATACATACTTACATGAGTTGGTATACTTACAAATGTATGGGCCCACAGATGCACAAACAGATAGAAGATGCCTTTGGTGTTTGCAACATTTTCATGTTGCGTAATAGCCATTTGGATTTTCTTAAA